GCGTGAGCCGCTGTACCTAGCTAGTATCATTTTTAAAATATGTATTCCGATTTTCTGCTCCTGCTGACCTTAGACTTCTGAGAGATAAGTAAACGAGATAACGTTGTGACTCAGAACAAAGCTTTCCATTCATGTGTGCGAGTCACATGCTTCTGGACAAGGAACTTAGTGACTCTGAGCATCATTGCTCTACATTGGAAAATGGGAATGAGAACAGGGAGGCTCATCTCCTTGGTTATCGGGAGGAATTAACTGGTACAAAGTAAGCTCCCAGTGAGGTTCACCCTTGCATGTGCTCATGCAGGTGGGTTTGTCTTTTTATGTGCTGTCATGCCTGTTTTGTAGACATGGGGACAACAAAGATCATGGCATTGTTTGGAGGGTAGGTCAAGATAATTCTTGTAACGTTCTTAGCACAGGGCCGGGCATGTGGTAAGCTCAGTGACAGGAAGTGTCAAGCACTGTTACTATTCATATTTCCCAGGTCTTATCGATTCCACAGACACATACAAGACACCTTGGTAAGTGAGACCCTTTGCTTGGGCTCTAGTGGAGAACAAAGAGCTTATACTCAAAGAGTCGGGGATCTTGTGGGAGAGACAACCATGTGAGCTGACAATTGCGATGCGGTGATAAATCACGAAGCAGAGGTGTTCACAACATGTTAAGAGAGCACGGATGAGATGGGGGATTTTTGGAGGACTTACTATATGTCACTCCCTGGCTAAGCATCCTTACCTATTTTACATACAACCCGCTGAGACAGGTAGTATGGATCTCTCCACTTTATATATAGGGCTTTGTGTTCTATAAGTGTTAATATTAATAGAACAAAATAGGAGAATATGGTTACAGATCACAATTTTGTGTCCTTCTAGTTGTGGGAGCACCCGGGGAAGATGAGGTCACACTTCCAAAAAATGAGGATGGTCTGACTCCTCGTCATCTGGGCCTTAGCAGAAGCCGCTGATGCTGAGGATGCAAGCCCCAGAACACAGAGAGGCATACAGAGGGGCTGGGAGGCCTGGCCTCATGGCCTACCTGCTGGCTTTGGAAAATGTGCCTTTCAGACGCTATTGGCATGCATGCAGAGAGGGCCAAGAGCAGAGGCGAGAGAGCTTGGGTCATTTACTGTCACCCTTTCCTAAAAGGCTGACAGGAAAACATTAGCCTAGAGATGGGAGAAATCAGGCCCATAACCCCATGTATCTAAAGCAGACCACTCACATGGAGGGCTCGGCCGACTGCAGCCGTAGAGACGGCCAGGACTGGAAACTGCCCTTCTGGCTGATGGCCACCCATCCTCAGGTCTCGATGTGGCCTCTGTTGCTCTGGGGAGTCAGCCCCAACCGCAGGTGGGCCTCATGTTCCCTCTCAGTTCCCAGGTCCCCGGGGCTCCCCTGCATCCTGCACAGCATGTAGTCTGCACAGTGCCATCTGCTCATGTCTCTTTCCTGCTGGACCATGAGCTCCACTGCGAGGAGATACCTCATCCTTTCTGCACCTAGTGTGGCGCCTGAGATGCAGTCCACGATCACGACATTCTTATGGCTGGAGGAGTAACATTCACCATATTGCAAGTGCCCGCGGTTAGATTCACCATCCTGGTGACTGAAGAGGGCTGGTATCTTCCCCCCAAGGTGAGAAAGGAGGCACACCAGCCGTCCCCAGGATCCCTTCCAGCCCCTGCCTTGTTGCCAAGGGTGTTTCCTGATTTGAGGCCAGGTGTGTTAGAAATGGCACGTAGGTGCTTGCAGGGGATTCAGAGGTAATTGGGAGGGGAAGAAAGAAGTCAAACCAGAATGGAGCCAGATACCACGGAGAACACCAACAGCCTGGCATGCTGAAGTCTCCCGAGCAGGTTGCCCTGGTTTCTGCAGAATTAGGAATGATATTGCTGTACACATTAAAGTATTTTAATTGGTTGCCAAGGCGATGCAGCAGAATTATGGGGCACAGAGCAGGAATAGAACCCTGCAGGGCCGTGTTCAGGAAAGGTGCTCGCCTGTGAGGTTAATGGGCTGCCTGGGTATGAGAGAGGCAAGGAGGCATGCTCTCTGGGACTTGGCTTAATTCACAGGCATGGTAGAGAGCAAATACCCCTTCCAAGCACTCTGGAGACACGGGAGAAGTCATCTGGATCCCAGATTTTTCCTGAGTTAAATTTTCATGGGCGAGGGAGATCAATCAGTTCGATGCTCAGGGGAAAGAGGAAATGGAGGGAGAGAAGAATGGAAGAAGAGAGTCATGCTCTCTTCCTCTGAAGAGATGCTAGAAAGGAGCGAAGGGCCAGGGGCCTGCATTTAAAAGGAAAGAAGAAAACATTGCTCTTCCCCCTGTTGCTTCTCTTTGTACTGGAAAAAGCATTTACAGTTTTTGCTCATTGTTTTGTGCTTTGTTTTTTGTTTTCTGAGGCTTTTGAAACACTAGAATTTCTCACAAACACAAAACTTTGTGGCTGAGACATGTCCAGAGTCGCCTACCTTCCTCCAATCTGGTTTCAACATTCTATTTTATGTATTATTATTATTTTTGAGTCAGAATCTCACTCTGTGACCCATGCTGGAGTGCAGTGGCATGATCATGGCTCCCTGCAGCTTTGACCTCCTGGGCTCAGGTGATCCTTCCCCCTCAGCCTCTTGAATAGTTGGGACTACAGGCACGTGGCACCACACCTGGCTAATTTTTTTTTTTTTTTTTTTAGAGATGAGATCTTGCTATTGTTGCCTAGGCTAGTCTTGAACTCTTGAGCTTAAGCAGTCCTCTATCTCGGTCTCCAGAAGTGCTGGAATGACAGACGTGAGCCTCCAGGCCCAGCCCTTCCATTCCAGTTTCTTTCCCAAGGCCTGGAGGACGGAACCAACTTTACCAAGTGGAGTGATTATTCTGATTGCTTGAGGGAGGAACCAGGAAACAAAGAAGGCAGAGAAGAGGTAGATACACTTATTAATCATCACATTAATAACTACCACCATCACGTAGCTCATACCTTGTTCCAAGACTGAGCAAAATATACATGGTTTTCTCTAATTCTCTCAGCAGTCTCTGAGGTCCGTGGTATTTCCTCATTTTACAGATGATGAAATTGTGAGGAAGTGGCAGAGCCAGGACTTGAACCAGGTCTACCTGAATTCAAGGGCTGGGCTCTATCCATTCAAGGTGACCAAGACCAGTATGGTGTTCCCTTGGAGTTTCATGGAGTCCTGCACTAGCTGTTGTTGCTGGTTAGTTACTGTTGGCACTGACATCACCATTCTATTGTTGTTGATGAGCATCCAAGCATGTCATCCGTCGCCCATCCAATTCCATGTTAGTGATAGGCTGTGTCTTCACTGGGGACGGCTTAGTCAGAAATGTAGGGATTTAAGTGGTAAAAATGAGTGGAGGTGAATAGAGAGGGAGACTGAGTGAGAGAACGGAGGAGGCCAGAGAAGGAAAAAGGCAGGAAAGGTGCAGGTGGGATCTGGACCGTGGAAACAGAACCCAGAGGAAGAGGGGGAGACGAGGGAGGAAGCCGGTCAGAAGTCAAATGTGCAAGGGAGGGATGTTTTATCAAGAGATAGGACCAGCTTTGGTCCAGAACTGACCTGCTCTTCCTGAAATGTAAACAGAGGCAGGACAAAACATTTATGTCCTAGGCCTGGAAGAACCTGTCATCAAAATGGTCCCCTGTAGGTGGGGAAAATAGAGCCTGAAGTCCAGGAACCTCAGCTTCCAATCCTGTCCTAGCTGAAAACCAACCATGTAACATGAAATGTGTCTGAGTGCTTAATAAGTCATTGCAATTACTACGGTTATGGTACAAGCCCTAAATTCTCAGTCTCAAGATTCCAGCATCCACATTTAAAGTTTTTCCTCCTTTTTTTTTTTGAGTTGGAGTCTCACTGTCGCCCCAGACTGGAGTGCAGTGGCCGCTCCCGCCACCGCAGCCTCAACCCACTGGGCTCCGGCAATCCTTCCACTTCAGCCGTCCAAGTAGCTGGAACTACAGGCGCACGCTACCACACCTGGCTAATTTTTTTGATTTGTTGTAGAGATGAGGTCTCGCCTGCCCAGGTGGGTCTCGAACCCGCAGGCTCAGGCAATCCGCTCACCTCAGCCTCCCAAAGGTGCGGGATTACAGGCTGAGCCACCTAGCCCAGCTAAAGTTTTTCCTCTTGATGTTTTACAAGGTATGCAGGAGATGCAGAAGTATTTGAATTTATGGTTTTAAAGAAAAATGTTTACATAAAACCTTCCAGAAAAGATAGCCAGTATTTTTGAGTCCTCACGGTCTTCAAGGGCCTGTGCTAAATGCTTTCTCTGGAAAAGTTTGTTTAATCCACAGAGCAGCCCTCTTTTACAGATAAGGAAATGGGCCCAGGAGTTCTCACTGTGTAGACTGCTCTTGAACCCACACTCCCAACCCCCACACTGTGCTGGCTCATTTGCAGCCCGGGAGCCCTGCCTTTCTCATGCAATGATGGCAGAACACGCATCTTTTTATTTAACATGGCATTAGTAAATGTCTCTCGAGTCATGCTACCAAGTCACTTGAAATCTTGGCACTCCCAAGCTACACAGCACCAACCCCATGTTCAGGGACTAAGCGAGTCTTCTCATTCCTCTGCATTCTAGAATCTTACATCTGAGAGGCATCCCGAGGGTCTTCCAAGTCAGCCAGCCACCTCTCCCGTTTCAGTCCCCGCTTGGCCTTCCCACAGACAGGCCCACACAGCAAGTCCATTCAGATATCCAGTGTGGGGAGTTTCCGGTGCCTGAACACAGTCTGGTCTACCTCTAGACAGCAGCGTCAGGAAAGTCTTTCTGAAAGTGAACCGCACAAGACGCCCCTGCCTACTCTTCCATGGGCACCCACAGCCCTCTGAAGGCATCTCCGGAGGGTTGCATCTTTTTTTCTTTCTTTCTTTCTTTTTTTAGACAAAAGTTTTCATATTTATTACTGAGCTAGCCCATTAGTGCAGAGTACTTAAACAAAAAATTACATCCCAATTAAACATGTCAATTTTCCAATTGTGGAGCGTTTCAACTTGATAATGGTACATTGATGGTGACCATGATGAAGCATAAACATGTGTGCCATCTCATGTGCAATTCCTTATAGACCCGGCTTGGTTCTTCCCCAATGTCTCCTCTTGGAGTTATACCAGATTTTATTACCAGTTTTCATCCAAATCCACTGGGGAATGGGACAATTTTGCTTCTGTTTCTTGGCCAGGAGTCGCTTGATCCTGAAAGTCTTGTGAGAAGACATGGTGAGCAACGGAGTTCACTGTGCACACCACCATGATGGCAGAGAAAGGAAGCAAGAGAGCACATCTTATTTTCATATCCGATTTTCCATTTTATTTTCTCTAGGCTCAAGTACTTTACTTAGTCTGCCCAGTGAACTGGTGTCAAGTATCCTAACATAGGAGCCAAGGTAGAGGAATAGCACTTTGGGAGGCCAGGCGAGTGGATTCCCTGAGCCCGCGGGTTCGAGACCCACCTAGGAAACTTGGCAAGACCTCAATTCTATAGTAAATAAAAAAAAAAAATTAGCCGGGCTCGGTGGCTCAGCCTGTAATCCCGTGCCTTTGGGAGGCTGAGGTGAGTGGATTGCCTGAGCCCGTGGGTTTGAGACCACCTGGGCAGCAAGACCTCATCTCTACAATAAATCAAAAAATCAGCTGGGCGTGGTCGCGCATGCCTGTAATTCCGGCTACTTGGAAGGCTGAGGCGGAAGGATCGCCAGAGCCCAGCAGGTCGAGGCTGCGGTGGCCAAGAGCAGCCACTGCACTGCAGTCTGGGCGACAGAGTGAGACTCCAACTCAAAAAAAACACAAAAATTAGCCGGGCGTGGTAGTGCTACTTGGAAGGCTGAAGCGGGAGGATCATCTGAGCCTAGCAGGTTGAGGCTGTGGTGGCCAGGAGCGTGCCACTGTACTCCAGTCTGGGCGACAGAGTGAAACTCAACTCAAAAAAGAAAAGCACAGTAGACCAAAAAAAAAAAAATCTTCTTTTTTGCTCTAAGTTTTAGAAAGCACATTTTACATTCTATGGGTGTGTGGTAGGCCACTGGTGTAAACTAAACTCGGTGAAAGTAAAAAATTTTACATTTCAATAATAACCACTAGTTATCACTCATTACACATGTATGTACTGAGTGCTCACCGTACACCAAACCTACACTAGGCACTAGGACTGAACCATGAGCAAGATAAAGGTAAATGTACGCTCCCCTGGGATAGATCAAAAGAACAAAAAAGTCCATCGTCTTGGTTGGGTTCCCCTGGAGGCAGACCATGAGGAATGAGTGCTTGTAGATTATTTGGGAGGTGTGAGGACATTGGCAGGGGAGTGGGGGTGTTGTGTAGGGGAGAGAAGGGCCAGCAAAGATGCGTCATGAAGCCAGCTCCCACAGTAAGCCACTGATGCCTAATCCTTTGGAGAAACTCTGGAGAATGGCGTAAGGCCCAGACCCCCAACTTCTGCTGACCAAAAGGTGAGAGATCTGGGGTAGTTACACCCCCATGCCTGTGAGTCATTGGTTAACAGCCGCCCCCAGGGACAAAGTGGGTTCTAGGAGCTCTAGAGAAGGCGCCCACCAAAACTGCAGGTGCTGACTACAGGGAGTGAGCTGAGTTGCAAAGAGGTGGTAAAGGGCTCTGGAGAAATGTGGGTAGAGCTCCAATAGCATCACGCACACACAAAATAACCAAAATAATCGCCAATTCTGATAAGCGTCTGCTGTGTAAACAAACTGTAGACAAGGGCAGGAAATGAAGGCTGAGGGAAGGTCTGTGATGAGGGTGATCGAAGGCCTCTCTCTGTGCAGGAGGCGCTTATGCGAATACCCAGAGGGTGGGAGGAGGGCAGCCCTGTGAGGGGAGGTGAGCTCCAGCTAGGGAGAGCATCTCAAGCCTGCTCCCCATGGGCAGCAAGAACCTGGCAAGATCTGAGTTCTGGAAACTGAGTGGAGACCCGTGGCAGAGGGTTCTGAGCACTGAGGTGAACGGCACAAGATGAGCCGCAAAGGGAGGTGACCCTGGCTTCTTGGGTCCCAGATGCAATGAGAGGTTAAAGCAGGGAGCAGCCTGGCCTGGTTTTCAGTTCAAAATGTCACTTCAGCAATGTGGAAAATGAACTTCTGGGGATAAGAATGGAAGTTGAAGACCAGTTTTGGTCTTCTGGATGGGTAGCCTGGACTAAGACAGCAACAGTGGTGGAGACAAGTGGATGAATTTAAGAGCAAATGTGGAAGTGGAAGCAGAACTTGCTACAGATCGGGCCCTTTCCGTATCACTAGCCTGACCCAAAACTCGGCATACTAAGCCCTTGTGTTTAACTCTTGCAGCCTCGGTGTGAGGCAGGGGCTATGATCTCCATTCCCATTTCACAGGTAAGGAACTAAGGCTCAGAAAGATGGACTTGCTCAAGGTCACGCAGAGGGCAAGAGACAGAGCTAGATTTGCCAAAGCTGCTGCTCTGGAGTCTGTATTGTAACCTTAAAACTGGGGGTGGGGCGGTGGGGGTCTGCCTCACATCACCCTCCCCGAATGTGCGTCGCACCGCTCGCTTCAGCAGTGTTCTCTCGTAGAATGGTGCTCCGCAGAGGGAACATCACAGGCAGAACACCGGAAGACCTGTGTTTAATCCGTCTCCTCACCTGCTGGCTTTCACTAGGACTCTTGGAGCCTCGGTTTCCTCCTCTGTAAAGGCATAACACTGACTTCACATGGTTGTTCCCACAGTTAAAGGAAACCCTGTAAGGCTGAATCACTAGGTGGTCCCAGAAGCATTCAGACCTCCTCGCTGGGTGCCTCCAGCTGGGAGGAGGATCGGGGCAAGTCAGGCTCCCTTTCATGACAGCTGATTCGGGAGACTCAACTCAAAGGACTCGGGGACCAGTTTTCCTTCCCCAGGGAACTCATGCAAGCACCTTCCCCCTATGACCCTGCCTGGGACCTGGTCTGGATTGGGTATCGCCTCAAAAGTACTCCTAAGCCAAGTTTATCACTGGTTTTCTTTAAAATGCCACCTTAGAAGGAATCGTAAAACACAGGTGCTGAGAGCTGAAGGGCCCTAAAAAGCACCTGGTCCAACGTCTACCCATATTAACATGGTATGCGAGGCTTAACAAAAAAAAAAAAAAAAAATAGAACTTTCCAAGGACACCCAGTTTGCCAGGGAACAGACCCAAGGCCAGGCTCCAGTTTCCTCACTCTCAGTCCACGCACTTTGTATTTTACCAAACTGCTTGAATCTTGCCCAGCCACTGTCATGAGTTTGCTGGGCTCCGGTCAGAGGCCTCAAGGCCAGCCTGCTGCATAAAGGACCCATGAGAAACACGCACACGTCCAGATTATATGTGGAGTTTTGCAACGTGGCCTGCCCAGGGCACCCTCAGACCTCTGGCACTCACCTGCCATTGAGTCTGAAAAGCAAATAAGCATTTACGTGGCATGATAGTTGACACCAATTGAGAGCCTCAAAAGGCAGTTTCCAAAGACTCCAGAGAGACAGCCAGAATCAAGCTATATAGAGAAGTAATAAAACTCAGGCAGTAACGAAAACATCTTCAAACTGTCCTAGAAAGGGATGGCAGAGGTGAGCCGGGGTCAGCAGCAGGTACTTCCAGCTTCATGGACTTTGCTCTCCAGAAACGCTTTTTATGCAAGCTGTTGTCCAATCCCATCAACTATTGTGTTCTTGTATTTTGACATTTTAAATTATTTCCAGAGAATAAAAAAATGATTACCGGGTCAAAGGGGAAGAGCATTTTTGAGACTCCTGATCCACAGTATTAATTTGTTTTCACTGGTGTTTGACAGAACTCTTGTGTTTGCAAGTGCCAGAAAGCGGGAACTTGCTAGTGCACAGGATGGATGTTCGGAGCTAGAGCTGGCCCTGAGGCCTGGAAGGACCCAGACATTCCTGGCAGGCAGCGCTCCCCTGCCATGACCTCACTTCTTTGTGCTGGCCTCCTTTGCTCTGTTTAAAAGCAGCATTCTCCATGATATAGACCCCTCAAAGTTGTTAGTTGCAAACAGTAGAATCCACTGCAAAAAATAATGATAATAATAATAATCTAAGCAGAGGCCGGATTAACAAAAAGGATATTAAGTTGCTAACAGAACTTCTGGGAGGGCGGAAAAACTAATTTGCAGCCTCCTTGCAGGAACAATGCCCCAAATGGCCAAGTGCTGACTTCCAGGTCTGCCTTGGCCCTGCTCCTACTGCTGTGGTCAGAGGCCAACCTGCTTTAGCCTCCACCACTGTCACACAGAGTGGAGAAGAGCCTTCCCGGGTTCTCTCTTTGGGTCACTAACTCCCAATTCAAAATCCAAGTCAGGTACATCTAACTGAAAAAGCCTAGATCCTGGGCTGAAAACAACCCTGATAAAGCTGGCATTTTCAGCTTCTCAGTTTTGAGGCAGGCTCTGCCACCATCAAAACTCATAAGGTGGGTGAGTTCCCCGAAAAGAAAGGGGGTCCCGATGCAGGACATTCTAGAGAATGCATGCTGCAAAAAATATGGTAGCGGATAGCTCCGACCCACGTAGTTCCAGCTCCAACACCCAGAAAAGAGGGAGAGTCTCGCTGGGCACAGCGGCTCACGCCTGTAATCCCAACACTCTGGGTGACGGAGGCAAGAGGATGAGCCCAGGGGTTCGAGACCAGTCTGGGCAAAACGGCGAGACCTCATCTCTATATTAAGTCAAAAAATTAGCTGGATGTGGTGGTACGTGCCTATAGTTCCAGCTACGTGAAAGGCTGAAGCAGAAGGATCGTCTGAGCCCAGCAGGTCGAGGCTGCGGTAGCTGTGAGCATGCCACTGCACTCCAGCCTGAGTGAGACTCCAACTCAAAAAAAAAATTAAAAATTAAAAAAAAAACAAGAAAGAAATTCTCTTTTAACATCACCTAGTTCATGAGGCTTAGGAAGTTAGAAAATTGCTCAAAAATACCCAGCTAATGAAGAGCTACGATTTAAATTCAGACTATTCAACTCTTTTCTTAACCACTGTTATACCATGTTGCATAGAAACTACCCCTGAATTTCTTTTCCCTTTCTTTCCTATTGTGCCATTGATGTAAGATATATCATGCATTTAATTTAATTACAGCTTTCAGGAAAAAAGTAAGCACTACCTAATTTTTAAAAAATTACCTAGTTCAATGTCTGGCACTCAGTAAACACATGATGGACTAAATAATCAAATAGGCCTGATTCTAAGTTCTAAGACTCCTTTGTGTCTAATACTGACAAAACCAAGATAGAATT